GCTCAGGGTCCTGTGGACTTCGCTGGCTACGAGGCGATGATAGCGTTGCGGTGGTAAAGTTTTGGGTTGACGGTCGAGGTCGCTGGTCTTCCCACATTTTGGATGTCAGATTCAACAGTGAAGTTCACAAGGAGCTACATAAGAGAACAACCAGATTTGTGGGGAGCGAAGAAGCTACCCAGCGTTGTTCACATCGTTCCCTTTTAGTGCCCCCTGCATAGACTCTAGGACTCATGATTTGGGGTTTAGGCTGTAGAGCAAGCATAGGCTGACCCCACACCTNNCACCTCACATCCTATACTCCCCCCTAACTTTCATCCCATTTGCCAACCCGCCTAGCAATTCAACGCCTCAAAATACCAAAAACAAGCACCTCCCAAAGCAAATACAATTAATTATCCATAACACAACCCAATACCCAAAGCACCTCCCAAAACCAATACAATTATCCAGAACACAACCCGAAACCCAAAGCGCCTAAACAATCCATAACCTTATCTATAAAATAACCAACATCGTAATGAGGTGTGGGTTCAGCGACCCTTATAGAAAACCCAGCGCCTATATCAAGAATCTTACCAAAGATCCTAAGCCTTCCCCAAAGCCACAACGCAACCGAAACACAATTCCAAATCCTGACCTCTAACTAAATCCCGAATCTTCCTTTGAACAAAGCCATAGCAACCAACTCAACAAAAAGCAGGCAACACATTCAAAGCATTCAAGTATGTCGTTTAAAGCCTCACCGCCACTGGAAGTGGCCGGACCCAAATGGTGCGCCCTGCTTGTTTGTTGGTCTGTAAACCAGAGATTGGTTTTGAGCTTTCTTTGCTTTGGTGGATGAAAGCACTTGCGGTGAATGTCCGCACTGTCCGCAGTCCCTGTTTACATCAAGGCCGTTTTGCCCAATGAGACGCTGCGAAGCTCTGACACTGCTCACCACCAGAGGGCTATGGCAGCAATTGCCCGCGTTGCCTGCTCGATTCCCTCGTCAGCGCCGGGATACGCCAACTCGCACATGAGAACTTCCTCGCCATTATCAGTGAGAAAGATAACACGGACTTTCGCCTTGCAGCTCTGACAGCTTTGTTGAAGGAGCGTGATCAGAGCCAAGCTCGTGCCGACAAGGAGCGTGAAAAGAGCGAAATTTATGCCAAAGAGGTCATTGAAGGCCTGCGGTGTGATGTTCTACGTGCCAAGGTCCTGATGACAGCCCACGGTGTCTCTGAACGTTTTGGACAGCTTGTGTTTAACGAGCAACGATGCAAGGGCAAGTTCAACTGCACCAAGGGAGTGCTTCAGGCCTCGCGAACCCCTCTGCCGGAGATCCTTTTCGATACCATACAGGACTGCAAAGACCCTGGTGATGACGTCAACAAGGCTGCCACCAAGGTGTGGCAGCAGCTTTCGGATGAGACGCATGGCCAGGCATGGTTTGGCATCGAAGTGGAAGTTCTGGGCCTTCTCGATGAAGTCGGTAGATGCATGAAAACGAAGATATGTGCCGGATGCTCCTCCCTCTGGCTCGGAGTCGCATACAGCACTGATCAGCTGGCTACTGTGAACGGCCTGGCTGATGACTCCGATGACACCATGTCGCTGCTGTCTCTCACGCAAACCATTGGTGTAGCAGTGTTGAACATCGGGGTCTCGACGGTGCACTCCTTCGATGACCCGTCGTGGGAGCCTGAAAATGTGCCGACATGGTTTCTGCACATCCTTGACAGTACAGGCTCCTTGACAATGGTGCAGATGCCTGTGAGCCTTCGGATGCAGTGGAACATGCACTCAGAGCCTCCACAGATGAGCGCTTTTTGTGGAGGAGGTAATGATCCAGTGTAATTCTGTTCGCAAAGCCGCGAACTTAGATGTTCCTGGTAACTAGGGATGCCGAGCGCAGAGGAGCTCCATGGCCTTGCCGGGTGGGTGATTGCCACACTCCGCCATCGATGGCTCTGGAGGTTGCGCCCGGCCGCAATGTGTAAACGAGAACATGAACGTGAACTTCGCAGCATGGGGCTGGCCGCGAATGCTGCAGCCCATCTCTATGATGACTTCTATGGCCAGGAGAGGATCGAAGGGCGACGCCTGGCGCGCTCCCGCACTCCGCAACGGCAATGCCCCGATCCAGAGACACGAGCAACAAGTGCTCGAACGATGCGGAGCAACGGCAAATGAAACAGGCTTCTTCCAAACTCCCCCGAACAGGCGCCGCCAATGGAAAGACCTGATGGAACAGCTCTCGGACTGGTTTGTCGAAGGTCGTCAAGTTGGGATGGCTGTCGGCATGCTCCGCGTCAGGGTTCTCGCCAGACGTGACCGGCGCTTTGAGGATTGGGCACGCCGACAGCTACACACTATAGGGGTTGGGCTCCTTAACAGCGAAGGGTTGGAGACCGAGGTGACGCCGCGGGTTGCCTCAGTGGAAAAACACCTGTTTGCTGGCTACACCAATCAATGACAGAGAGAACGAGGTTCATGACCGCGTAGCAGGCGGGGATGATGTGAGCCTCATGGACCGGTACTGGAATGGTCAGAAGGGTGGCTGACCGGCTGAGGGCGGAAAGAAGCAACCACAGCACGAACTCAGAGCGAGGGAATGGGTCAGGCGAGTTCGTGACGGTCGACCTGGAAGAAGCTCTTACTGCCTTTGCGCCTTCGTCGGGGAGGAGGAATCCAGCACCCACTACACGTCGGCCTCCAGAATTTCCAGACCTTACTTACCATGTTCTTCAACGATACGTCCTTCGGGCCGCGCTTCACGGCAATAGTGCCGTCCCGGATGACTTCCCTCTGCGGACGACTCTGAGGGAGGTTAGCATCATCCGCGAGTCCATGTCCCAGCAGAACAGACTTCTCTCGACCATCGCACTTGTCACCATCTGGTGCCGCGCCGGAAGAGGATGAAGACTTGATGAAGAGGTCCTCATGCAGACCTTCGTTGCTTCTGCAGGCAAGGACACCAGTAACAAACGACGGTCCCGCGGCAGGAGTTGATGGACATGTCCAGGGCGACGCGGATGTTTTGTGTTCGTCGACTGAGAATGGGACTTCCACCCATGGGTGGTACTCCAACTCTGTGGTGGTCGCAGTTGGAGGCTTTGCTTGCATTGTAGCGACAGCGGTTGAAGCAATTGAGGTTGAAGGTCGTGTTGCAGTTGATCAAGGGTGGCTTCGGCAATGGCACCAGGAGATCGCGGCCTTCATACCAGGGTTTCGGCTTGTCGAGCGTGCTGTCACCCAGCAGCCAGCTGCTGAACCGGAGGTCTCTGATCGTGATCTTCAGCAGCTGATTGATGACCAGGAGGAGGTGCGAGTATTACAGCGAATGGCAGCGACTACGTGCACAAAAAGAAGAAGCTGAACGCTTGCGCCTTACAGTGCACGAAAAACTTTGCGAGCAAGAGCTGGAACACCTGCGAGCCGATGCGGAGGCCTACAATGTGTGGGCGCAGGACCAGCTGAAGAGGGCCATGGCACGTGCACCCTTTCCGCCGGTGAAAAGTACTTGCGATTGAAGTTGCTTCCGGCTCGGGTGGCGAACCAAGGGTTGAACACACGCTGGCTTTGGATGCCAGATAATGGGGACTCGCTGATGATTTCGCTGAGAGGCACTATGCAGCTAGATCCTGACGACGTTCAGACAGAGATAGTCCCTGAAGTTCCAGGGGAGGGTGTGAACTGGTACAAGGAAGAGGCAGATGAATCCCTGGCCCAGTGCAGCCGGCCGCCACCTGCACGTCAGCACGGAATGGCGCCGCAGTTGGCACCGACGATGGCGGACTCGCAGGCACCAAAGTATGATGGAAGCATCACCTCGTCCTGCGGAATGGCGTCCTCTAGCTTGGATCGTTCAGTGGGTCCCTCGCTGGGGTCAGTGGGAGAGAGATTTGGATTTTTGGAGTCCATTTACGGACAATGGCATGATGGGCATCGCTCTGACGCAGGGGAGGAACAGTTCGGATGAGACTGGCTTCGTCTCTTCCACCAATGGAAGCTATGGGGTTTAGGTGATATTTGGCCTCATCTGCTAAGCGTGTTTGACATGACGCCAGATCCTGATCCGAATGTGCGCCCTCCGCGGCTCCACGCATCCTGGCGACCAGCACGTTTGCTGTTCCTCTTCGTATCCCCTCCCAGGTGGTTCAGGCGATCTTGCAGCAGTGGGTGGCAAGGTTACTGCAAGACGATGTGGCTGTGCAAATCTATGGTGCTGGCTGGTTGGATATCTTCCGCTCTTGGCATCGGTAGGGTCTACAATCGGTTCGTGGAGTGACGAGCCTGTCGGCGGCTTGTGTTGCACCAGAAGAGTGAGTGCACTAAAGGGTCAGACTCAGTGCCTGCCGCTAATCTCGGAGGCTAAGACAAGCGGATGCAAAGAAGGCGTTCCAACAGAACCCTAAACTAAACCCTAAACCCGAGACTATCAGCGTATTAGCACTTGGCAATCGCGCTTGCAAGATGCGCAAAGGCACGGGGAATGATTGTGCATCTGGACGGCGAGGAGGTTGACGACTGGGCACACATGGCGTAACCTGGTGTCGACAAGTGCGTTTTGTGCATTTCATCCAGGCTGAGCTTAAACCCTCGATAAGATTTCGAAAGACAAGACAAGAGAGCGCAACAAAAGGCAGGCTGACATCCTCGTCATGGCTCCCAGTGCTTTTTCTTGGGTCGCAGCGCTGATCAACGAGAAGTGCCTTGCAGTGCTGGAACTTCTGGGCTCTAGGGACTAGGGTTCGCGCGATTCATGCAAGGTTATGTCTTTCTCGGGTTTGTAGAGGCTTGCTAAAGACTTTGGCAAACAGAGCCCTAAACCGCAAACCCTGCTCAGGTGTGTTCTCGCCTTCCGTGGCACGGAAGCTCTGCCTGATTGGATCGTACATACGGGCACCTTGCACGGTGAGCAGCATGCTCAGCTCGGACGGTGCATAGACGACCGAATCCTGACGCAGACGTGATGGGTGAGAAATGATGAATTCCTGCTGCAAAACACTGTAGAGTTGTGGTTCTAAGTTGGGGAGACCCCGAACTTGAAACCTGCTTTCCTGCATTTTCGTGTCTCAGAAAGGTTTCCAAGAGTCCACGAAGCAGCGTTGATTGCTCTTACTGCTGTTAGCTTCTTTGTCTACTCTTGCAGCGCTTCCTGTTGCTGCCATTTCGTTTACCGTGTTTGCTGCTGTTATCACGACTACAAGAACTGAAGACCACCATCTTGACAGCGGTTACACGGCATTCGATCGGCACGGATTGTGCTATTCCACTATTACCATGACGTTTAGAACAATGTTCAGCACCACTAGTTCTTTTTTGGTAGGAGTACTCGTGTTAGTCATATTGTGGTTCTTGTATCTTGCCCGTAAGACTAGACTGTGAGCACAAGCCCGATGAAGTCCATCTATGGCGCTGCCCCGAAGCCCAAAACAGATACATAGAGTTATACCAAAGGCAATACCCACACTGATAGCAACAGAACTAACTAGCAACAGCGCCCGGGTGGCGGTGGACGGCAGCAGCAGCAGCAGTCGCAGTTGTGGCAGCGGCAGTGGCAGCTGTAGCAGTAGCGGTATTCATCGTCCTAGTCCTGTCCTGGTCCTAGTCGTCGTAGGAGTAGGGGTAGGGGTAGGGGTAGGGGTAGGGGTAGGGGTAGGGGTAGGGGTAGGGGTAGGAGGGTGATTCTGCTTTGCTGCGATTGCTGTTTCTGTCCTTGGCTCTATAGGGGCCCGTGATCTCCAGCAAAGCCTGCAATCCCAATCCCTGCAAGCTTACAGAAGCACGCATGTCCGAATTGGCAAATGCTCAGCCTTGTAATCTTTGGAACTTTGCAAACAAGCCCTATAAACCCTAGAGTTCACCAAACCTCAGATGCTTAACTCCAAGCCTGAAGCCCCAAGCCATCCGGAAAGCCTGTATATCGAACCCAGAAGTTGGGGTTATTCCCTATATTGGATTGTTAGGGCATGGGGTAATCACGTTCCAGCTTCAGGGATTCTGCCTTCACGAAATGTTAACTTTGCGATCCGTGTGTAGTCGGAAACTCAGAACCACATCTGCAACTTCAATACAAACCCCAGAGCGCACCCTGATGCACATCCTTCAATCATCAACACGCAAGAACCTTACAACACCCCCGATCTCAAACCTCGTAGCCTGAATGGCCTTGCTGCAACCCGGCCGCGAACCCTAAGCTCTGAGCGTTTGCCCTTATGTAAACCCGAAATCTCTAACTCCTAACCCCTAAATCAAAAAGGCTCCCAGTCCTAAGCCTTAAAGCGTTGAGCTCCTGGGCTTCCATGGCCCGCTTTTGCAGCTCGCGGCAGGTGGGCTGAACACATCGGTGGCTCTTAGATCCAGGGCTTGGGTTTGGGGTCGTGGGGTCAGGGCAAGAGGCAGCTGAATACGAATCACAAGGTGTCAATTCTATTATGTCATCATAAGTACGATTGTTAATATATATATATATGAGCCCGATAC